TTAAAAGCATTGTGTACAGGGCCAGCAGGTGGTGTGGTGGTTAAAGTGCAGGACTTCCACATGGCCAACCATGGTTCAAGTCTTGGAACCTGACGATTTGAAAATCACACCAGGCACATGTGTGTGCTTGTCCAAAATCCCAGGAGGAAAACTATGGTGTGGTCATTCCCCCTGGGGGGAGGATGATTTCTCACTTTCCCTCTCTGTCAAGCACAAGCAACCTATGGAGAAGAAAAAAAAAGGAAAGAAAGAAAAATATCTTTAAAAAACCTTTGTGTACATTTATTTCACATACAGAGAGTTGAGAAAGAACTAATGTACCTTTATACAACCAAAGCAATTATTCTAGCCATTGGCATAAAAAAAAAGTCCAAGAAAAGCTCCATTCCAAACAACCCCCTATTCTAGTTCCTAATACTTACAGTTCTTCCATGTTGTTCAAGCCAAAAAATGCTCCATCCTTAAGTTTGCTAATTCCATTTCGCTGCATTTTCAAAGATCTTAAGGAGTCAAGTCCTTGGAACGTGAGACCTTCCACAATTTTAATCCTGTTTCTTTTAAGTTCCCTTTAACAAAAGAAGTTTTAGAGTCAGAAAACTGGTTTGCTAAAGTGCTCTAATAATAATTTTTTTAAATGCTATAAAAAAGTATCTTCTTATAATCTATCTATTGAGTTACTCACAAGAACTGGAGGTGAGGCAGCTTGAAGATCTTTGGTGGAATCAGGCTAATGCGGTTCCGGTTTAACTTTACCACTAACAAGGAACTCGATAAATTATCAAAGCAACCGGCCTCCAAGGTGGTTATCCGGTTATTACTCAAATTCCTAAAATGAGCAAAATAACAACAAAAATTCAGTAAGATTAAAAATTCTACCACTGGAAAGCCCCCTGAAATCTATGACTGAGCCCCAATTATCACTTAACAACTATATACAACTTTGCAAATCATTTAACTGCTTTGTTTCGTCATCTACAAAATTAGGACATTACCTACTTCATTTAGATTATTATCAAACAGTATGTGTGAGTATACTTTAATTATCATTATATAGGGTAAGACACTGTTAATGAGCTACTCCTATTTAAAACTGTTCATCAAAAAAAAAAAAATGTGTGTGTGTGTGTGTGTGTGTGTGTGTGTGTGTTTCTATCTTTATAGGCCAGGTAGTGGTGCAGTGGTAGCACAGCAGGCTCCACATGAGAAAGGTCCTAGGTTCATGTCCTAGGACCTCCCTGAGGATGCCAGGCCCAAGTATGTATGCCTGTGATCCAGGCTGCCTGAGACCGGGGTCAATTACGGTGTAGAGACTCTGCTGGGGGTGTCTTTCTGCTTTTGTCTATCTTTCTCATAGAAGAAACAAATAGACTTTTAAAAAGTCCAGAACTGGGGGGTGGGGCCAGCAGTTGCCATAATGGCTATGTCACTTGACTCTCATGTAATCGACTGCAGTTCGAGTCCTGGACCCGGTGGCTTAAACTCAAGCCGAGCATATGTGTATGCATGCCCAAGATCCCGAGAGGAGAATGGAGAAGGAGGGATTGCAGCGTGGCCATCCCCCTGGGGGGTGAGTTCTCGCTTTCTGTCTCTCTTTCTGGTGAACACATGTGCCCTATAGCAAAAACCTCTCAAAAAAAAAAAAAAAAATCCAGAACTGAATTTCAAAAATTACCTGGATACCTACCAATATTTTCTGACATAGTGCACTCTTTCTTTTGGGGGGTTGAATATGGGGAGAAAGAAACCAACAACCTAAAAAACTGACCCCAGATTTATTTCACATGTGCATATGCATATCAAAATCACAATTAACAGGTATTTTGGGGAAGAGAGGTACCAATGAAAAATAAACATGCACTTTATTTTACTTACAGGTATTTAAGCTGCATTTGAGGAAATGAAGATGTCTTGATTTCTGATATTATATTTGAACTGAGGTCTAAACTCTCAAGAGCAGGGTAAAGTTGGAGTGCATCTGCATTTATTTCTGGGATTATATTATGAACTCTACGAAATAAAAGGTTATATTGACGCTATTGCCAGAGATCCACCCCAGGCCACCCAGATAATAAATAACTAAGATGAATGACACAGGGACTTAAAAAAAAGTGTATGTTATTAATAATTTAAGTAAAAGATCTGAAAATATTTACTTACAATGAAAGTATAGTAATATTAGATGTTGGCTCTCCAAAATATGGGATTTCTGTTAGCTCATTATAATTCATTTTCCTAGAGAAAGGTAAAAATAGATTTAAAAGATTAATGAGGGAAACAAAATGTACCTTCTGAATTTTATTTATTTATTTTTTTTGAGAGAGATATTTTTGTTATAGGGCATGTGTGCTCACTGGAGAGACAGAGAGACAAAAAGCAAAAAAATCATCCCCTGGGGGACAGTCACATCGCAACCTCTTCTCCATTATTCTCTCAGGATTTGGGGCGCACACACACGTACCTAGCATGAGTTTCAACCTGCCAGATCCAGGACTTGAACCACAGTCAACCATGTAGAACCTTTTTTTTTTTTGACCATGTAGAACCTTAACCTTAACCATGTTAAGTCATAACGTAGAGCCTTAACCACTACGCCACCTGCTGGCTCCCCTTTTGAATTCTAGTTTCTGGTTAATACATGTTCTTTAGGATAGATGCCAAACTAAGATTAAAAAGTTCTTATTGAGGATTTTTAAATTTTAATAAATATTTTTATTAAAAATAGTATTGTTGGGGGACCAGCAGGTGGCATGGTGATTAAGGCACTGGACACTCCCATATGACTGACCACGGTTCAAGTCCTGGACCTAGTGGCTTGCTTACTCACTTTCTCTCTCTCTGTGCCTGTCTCTCTCTGGCTAAATTAAAATAAATGAATAAATAAAAATGAAATAAATTTTTACAAAAAAAATTAAAAAATAAAAATAGTAGTGTTAATTTACTATTGATATCAACATTAGAAACGTTAGGAATATTTTACCCATTAAATATTTTTAGTCCCAGGAAGGTTCTTGAATGGTTATGTTTATAACAGATAAATTGAACAAAGACACAATAACAGATATACACATATATTTAAAAACTTAATCAAAGAAAGGGAGTATTTCTTTATACTACAGATGCAATCAATTTGTCACCCAAAAATGGAACCTATGACTAATTTTACAGGTAACAAGACACATCACAACTGATTCCAATAACCCTTTAAACAGATTATCTCAAATGTTTTAGTGGCGAATCTAATACAATTGCATTTCATTGATCTGGTTTTTCAATCACTGGATAACCTCAACAAATTGGAATATGGAAGAGGAATCAAGAGTAAAAAGTCTCTAAGAAACTGAAGTAACAGGGACCAGCAGTTCTATGTCGCTGAACTCCCATGTAGTCCACCGTGGTTCGAGTCCTGGACCCAGTGGCTTAAAACTCACACCGGGCGTGTGTGCGTGCTTGCCCAAGATCCCAAGAGGAGAATGGAGGAGAAGAGATTGCGGCGTGGCCATCCCCCCTAGGGGGTGATTTCTCGTTTTCTGTCTCTCTGTCTCTCTCTGTCTGTCTGGCAAGCGCATGCGCCCTATGGCAAAAAAACTCTCCAAAAAATAAAGGAAACTGAAGTTACGAAGTCTATGTGATAAAGCTCAAGGACTTTCCATTGAAGCATTTTTGGGCCTTTCTTCAGTGCCCATTCTTTCGGCTAACAAACTTGTGAACTGTTCATTGTGAACTGTTTATTCATTCAATTTAAGACAGATTTGAAGCAATAAATTTTGGGTGAGGGAAGAGAGAATGCAGAGACATGAACATTTTAAAGAAGTTACCCATCAGCAAAGAAAGAAAAAGTGTGGGCTAGCAGGTGGCTTGGTGGGTAAGGCAATGAAACCCAAATGGTTGACTCCATGGTTCAAATCACGACCAGGCAACTCAAAAAACACTCCTGCCACATGTTTATATGCTCAAAATTCTGAAAGAAAAATAGAGAAGAGACTGTAGCATGACTATCTCCCCTGAGGCATGATTTCTTTCTTTCTCTCTGTCTGTCTCTGGCAAGTGCATGTGCCTATAGCAAAAGAAAAGAAGAAAAAAAAGAAAGAAAGAAAGAATCAGCCCAGCAGCCTGATGAGTAAGAAAGTAGCATTCCACAAGGCCAACTGAGGTTCAAATCCTGTTTCCATCAGCTTGGACAACATACCAGGTCCACATGTATGCATGCCCAAAATGCTGAAAAAAATGGAGAAATGGAGAAGGGATTGCAGAATGACCACAGCCCATTGAGGGATGCTTTCTCCCTCTGTCCTTGTCTCTTTCTGGCAAGTGCACACACCCTCTGACAATTAAAAAAAAAGAAAAAGAAAAAGAAATCTGAGGGTTCTGAGAAAGTTTAATGTATAGAAAGAAAGACCTATAAACTTCCATAGTAATGACCTAGGACTATCACGATACAATAACTAATACTAATAATATTTTAGAAAAATTTGCTCTAAAATCTCATCTTTCAGTATTAAAGGAAAAATTTTAAAGGAAAATTGAATTATATCAACCACCACATTCTCAAATGATAGCAAAAGCACTTTTTTTTATATAAATCTACTTTAAACATAATATTTACATCTCAGATGACATGTCAAGACATTAGAAATATTTATACAACTGAGTTCCACTGGCTAAAAACCTAGCCAAAATAAATAAAACATATTTACATAAAAGAAAGAACAAATATTATTTTTGGTTCCAGGAAAGCAGAATAATATTAAAATTTCATTATGCTACTTGAAATCAACAACCCAACACCCAGTTTGCAATAATAACAAACCCAAAGATGATAGTTTTTTATAAGACTTCTAATTTTAAAAAATGCATTTTCTCAATTTTTGACAGCATCTCTGGATTGAACATCCCCAAATTTACAATTTATTAACTCACCTCGAGGAATTCAACATTACTTTAAATAAATAAAAGTAACTTACACTTCCTGTAACGTTTGTGATTCCAAGCTGATGTTCCAGTTAGACAGCCGATTGTGACTCAAATCCCTGAAGGACAAAATATCATTCTTAGTTTATTACTGGATTAAAAATACCCCACAAAACTAAAATAGGAATGTTGAAGTCCTACTAAATGTGAACTAGTAATAAACAAAAGTGTTTGTTAAGTAGGAACAAAAAAACTATCTAGATTTCAAAATAGCTATTCAATTAAAAAAATTTTTTTTCTAATCATAAGGAATACATTCACATGGTTCAATAAAAGTGTGTATAGTAAAAGTCTCCCACCCCAGTCTCCAGCTGCCCAATTTGTTTTCCCAATAGCATCAAGTGAAAATATGCCATTTTTTGTGCAGCCTTCCAGATATTTTATGCATGTACTTCCAAATTTCCACAAAAATGGTATAGAATAATTTACACATTATTTTGCCCCTTTTGTCACTACATCTAATATCACTACATAGTTGTATTTAAAGAGTTTCTTCATTCTTCATCTTTTGTGGTAATTATATAATACTATATTTAAGCTGTACATAAATTCAAAGATGGATTTCACAAGCTATAAGATGAGCGTCTAAATTAAAACTTCCTAAAAACAGCAATCCAGCTTCAGGAAAGGAAAATTAATCTTGCCCCCAAATTATGGTAACAATGCTAATGACCACTGAGGCTAACATTTAAGTGCCAGGCACTCTTCTATACACTTCACACAGATTAAATGGCTAAATCCACACAACAACCTTATGAGGCAAATAATCACTTCTCCAAAACCAAAAAAAGGAACTTAGTAACTTGTTGATCCATGTTCACACAACTAACAAGTGGGAAGTCATAAATTCAAAATTTCAACTCACACCTAGCAAGTAGTCTACAGGATATAGTAGAGATTTCACTGAAATTGAAATCCCTTTAAAATTAGTTAAAAGTCTAAATGTCTAATAGGCTTTAAGAAATTGACCTTGATTCTTCCTGGCATCTTTACAAGACTGAAGAAAATTCAGCCTACACAAGCTGTCTGCCCAGGCGATGTACTAGACGTTACAATATGGCTAGCAATGGGAACACACTAGAGAACCTAACTGATCACTTTATCTCACGGTGCCACCACGGGCAGTTGACAGATGCAAGCAGGTTTGAATGATGTCTCTATCACAGCAAAACGATTTGTTCCCAGCTAGATTCATGCATGCCCATCTGTAAAACCTATCCACTTGCATTTAAAGGCTTAATTTACACCATGGCATAACTAAGGCTCCATTAAACCACCAGTTTCTCACATCGGTTCCAAAGCCCTTTATTCCAAGATGTCTGGCACCACGAATCAGCTCGAGGACAAGCATAAAAGGAGGGGTACTGGGAAACTAAAGGGATAAAATATAAACTTGTACCACACAAAAATTTTTTATTTATAGACATTTTCATCCAACTCCCATTAGCTTCTAAACAACAAACAAAATTTCATATAAGTAAAAGAATTAAACTTGCTTTGGTTTTGTGGTGTTTCGATTCAAGCAATTCAAATGTTCTAATTTAAATGAGATATTCTACATTTTGCTCCAAGCTGGTTGATGTGGCTGTGGAGCAGGCTAGCACAGAATGATCTATAATAATTCTGAATTTCATGACTCCTAAAATTTAACATTTTCCCCCACAAAGGGCTTTTGTTTTAATCTAACAGTGCCCATAATGCCTTCTCAAACCTAAATCTTCCTGATAATTAACTTTTGATTACAATTCTCTCACGGATGTCAACTTTCAATAACCTAGATAATCAAAGACCAGATGCCTTGACCAGATAATCATTTTTAAAGAAAACCATTATCAGAACTGGGCTACAGCTCAAAGATTAAGAGAACTAGATCCTATATGACTGATCACAATTTGAATCCAGGCCAAGACATCTTGAAAAACATGCCAGGCACTTGTGCATGCATGCCCAAAATCCTGCCAGGAAAAAGAAATAGAGAAAAAAAAGACTGCGGTATGACCATGACCCCTTGCCCTATGAGGGGCAGAGAGTGCTGTATCCGTTTATCTCTCTGGCCAGTAAACATGATCTCTGGCAATAAAAATAAATAAAAAAGAAAGGAAGAAAAGGGCCAGCCCTGTAGCCTAATGATTAAGGGAGTTAGACCCCACATGGCCAACCACATGGTTCGAATCCCAGCCCTGGTGGCTTGAAAAACACACAGGAATATGTGCATATGTGCCCAAGATCCTGTCAAAATAGAATAATGGAAAAGAAGGGATTATAGCATGACAATGTTCCATTGAGGGCTGCCTTCTCTCTCTCCTCTCTGACATGGTGGTTAAGATGCTGGACTTCCATATGGTCAACTCAGAGGTTGTGGTCCCAGACTGCACCAGGTACATGTGTGTGCATGCCTAAAATCCCAGAAAAAAAGGGACTGTGCCATAGCCACACCCTCGCCACTCAGGGAGTAATTTCTCATTTTCTCTTCTCTCTAGGAAGTTTAAGTACCCTATGGCAAAAATTTTAAAAAAGAGAAAGAGAGAGAAATTTTCTCTGTATCTTTGAAGAACCTACAGGTTTTTCAGCGGAACCCAAAAGAACCAGCATACTTTGGAGACTCTACGGTATAACGTTGTGTTAAGAATATATACTTCCCTGGGCTACTATACAGCATGGAAGTTAAGGGGCTGGATCCCATGTGGCCAACTACATGGTTTAAGTCCCAGATCTGGCAGCTTGAAATTTACACCGGGCACACATGCATGCATGCCCACAATCCTGAGAGAAGACTGGAGGAAAACAGACTGCAGTGTGGCCAACCCCCTTGGGAGGGTGGGGGTTTCTCACTGGCACCTCTCCAAGGAGCGTACTTCCCTGTAGCAAAAACTGAAAAAAAAAAAAACCAACAAACTAAAAAACTTGAAGCAATCTAATACTTGACAAATAAAACGTAGAGTCCAGCTTTGTAACAGTCAATAATGTTTTTATTTTCTAACACCACTAATATCTGAGTATTTATGGCTGTGATGATTGAAGATTAAAGATCTCAGAGAAGTCCTTATCTCAGCTTCCACTCATGCTAACCTAAAGGAATGTAGCTGTAATAACAGATGAATTATTAAAGACAGCATGTGGAGCCAGAGGTGCCATTAATGTAGTCGTTTAGTACCATCAGGGTGTAAATTATTTATAAGATGAACAGAGCAATCACAACAGTATGAGGAGGAGAATCAACTTCTGCAAGCTAATTATAAGTCATCCTGCCTCAACAGAGATGTGGAAGTTTCCTGCATGGTCACATTCGTACACTTCCAAGGCATTAACAATCTTTTCTGTTTTTGAGTACCTACAGCAGTAACAGACCAAACTGTAATTTCAACAGTAACAAAAACCTCTGACAAACCCCTTGCAAATGTAAAAGAATAAGAAAACATATATAGGGGCCAGGAGGTAGCATAGCGGTTAAGACACTAGACTCTCAAATGGCCAACTATGGATGGAGTCCCAGACCTGGTGGTTTGAAAGCCAGACCAGGAGTGCGTGCATGAGCGCTCAAAGTTGCAGGAGGAAAATGGAGAAGGACTTGCAACATGGTCATACCCACTGAGAGGTGATTTCTCACTTTCCCTCTCACTGTCTCTGTCTCTCTGGTTAGCACACATGCCCTATGGCAAAAAAATTAAATTAAATTTTAAAAAATCACACACACACACACACACACACACACACACACATGCATGTCACAATGTGTTTTTCTATGCAAAAATGTATCATCATGACTTTCCCAATGACTACATATACACACATATATATAATTTGGTGTATAAACATGGTTCACTAGTTTATCCAGCAGAATGCCTTTTCTGAATGGAAATCCCTCTTGTTGAAGTATATTAATAACTGGTATAAATTACTTTTTAAAATAATACTCAGGCTTACTATTACAATCAATTATTGTGTTGTGACTTAACATGCTAATGATCTTGAGCATTCTTTGGTTATACTGAAATAAACACAAGAATTCCAAAACAACTCTTAAAACTCTATCTGCAGGCCCCCAGGTGGCCTGGTGGTTAAAGGTGCTGGATTCCTACATGGCTGACCGCAGTTTGAGTTCCAAACCTGGCAGCTTGCTTTCTCGCTTTTCCTTTCTCTCTCTCTCTCTCTGGTCAAATTTTAAAATAATATCAACAAATGGAATTAAGTAAATAAATATTTTTTTAAACTCCGTCTGCTTTTAGAGGCTTGCCTTTCCTTTACCACTAACAGCTAAATGCTTTAACACTACACTAAATGCTCTCATTTCTTGGAACTGTCACTCTTTCTGCCTGTAACAAGTTACTTATCTTTCTACTAAATTGTTGCTTCTAATCAACTGTCATAGCCTTGGGAAACCCCAATGCCTGTTAGAACCACCTGAATTAGCAGTAAGTGAAATGGGGAGTGAGAGCTTCCTCTATAAATAAATGCTTCCCGGAAACATTTTTGCTTTGAGGTTGAACTAGAGATGGCTGGAGATATCAGATAAGCATCTTCAGGATAAATAAGAATTTACTATAGCATGAAACATAATGCTATTCTCAACTGACCTTCTATCCTTCAATTATACTACTTATATGCAATAAATTGTACAATGCTTTTTATAAGAATCCAAAAAGGAGGTGGCAAGAAGATGGAAATACTCATTTCAAGAAGACTTGTTTTATTTTCTTCAATTATATTTCCCTGAGTTGTTAATGATTTAAAAATACTGCTTCTTAGGACCAGCAGTTAGCGTAATGGCTATGTCGCTGAACTCCCATGTAGTCCACAGCGGTTCGAGTCCTGGAGCCGGTGGGTTAAACTCACGCCGGGCGCATGAGCACACGTGCCCAAGATCCCGAGAGGATAATGGAGGAGGAGGGAATGCGGTGTGGCCATCTCCCTAGGGGGTGATTTCTCGCTTTCTGGCTTTCTGTCTCTCTGTCTTTCTCAGTCTCTCTGGCCAGCACACGCACCCTGTAGCAAAAACCTCTCCCCCCAAAAATAAATAAATAATGTTTCTGAGGACCAGCAGGTGGTATAATGGATATGT